TTGATTTGAGTACAACTTTGCTCAAACATTTGAAGTTCAACTTGATTTCAGCTCAATAAAAGAATACATACAATCTAGCACATCATTTTGTAGAAAGATTTAACTATTTTTGGGGTGGGAAGATGCAAAAAGGAAATAGAGTTCATAGCAATGTTTAAATTTCTGCAAAAAATATAATCTTAGATATAAGAAACTCACTTTCACAATTAGCAGCAAATTGTCTTGTATAAATGACATCAGATTCGTCACGACAATCTGCAAAACGATCACAAGCGAGTTGGATCGGTATACACTCGTTCCCTCCACAAGCAAATTCCCTTGAAGGTGAGCAGGGTACTGTAAAGAAAATATGAAATTTTGAGAATAAATAGGTTTTGCTGTACTCTTTTAATGTACCATTCGCTGTGACTCGAAAAGCATTCCACTGAAGTCGGAATCCTTTTGCTGGATGTTGTTGTGCGAGGAGAGGATCAGTGTGCCACCATAGGGTGAGGGCATTTAGAGTGCTTACACTCAGTTCGCTAGCATTTGTTCGTTTACCGCAAAATTGGCCTAGGATAGTAAAGTAAACCTGTAAAAATGTCTTAGAGAAAATAGATATAAGCACCTATTATAGGTCCAGGAGTGATTGAGTCACTTGTCTGGAAGTGAGGAGCACTTGGATCAATTATTGTCTCATGCTGAAATGCAGAAATTTACGATTTCGGCTAGAAACCACAGAAAAAGTTTACTCACATCGAACACGTGCAGCGTATCCTTCTCGCAATTTGAATTTTGGCCATTCACATCGAATTCCAAAACTCGCAACCTTATACGATAACCTATAGGTGCTATTAGCATCACAAAACAGTTCCTGCTCGCATTGTAAGGCACTCTACCATATAACGAATGCGAGTAAATTACGCCAGATATGCCTGGAACAAAGAAATTTTAGCAACTTAAGAATTTTTGATTTATAAGATATTTTTGAAAGATTATCTTAAATGTTTTGCTGTTTTATACCTGTAATCCGACGTTCAAGCCTCGTCTTGCACTGATTCATGTAATCATTCCCATCGAAAAAGCCTTAAAAGCTATTTAAATTTTTTTCTGACATAGTTAAAATTTATTTTCCTCCTTG